CACTCGGAATAACATTTCGAAAGGAGGGAAATCTCCTTCGCAAGAATTTATTCATTCGATATGTGTATAGAGAAAAGAATAGCAATTCTGGCGTGTCAGTCAATAGATACTGGATAAAATAAAGGATTATTTCCCCAATTACTGTCTTCGTCGCTTCCGTATCTTCATCTCTTTCATTGTTTATATGGAAGATTCTCATGAGAATATGAGAAAATGCATTTGGCAACAATAATGATAATGACATTCATATCAAATATTACAAATAAGTGAATAGAGATAGAATAATGATGACAATAATGATACTGACATTCACATCAAATAAAAGCGAATGAGAGAAGAAAAAAAATAAAATAAAAAATAAAACAAAGCAATAAGTCTTACGACACTCCCGCAACAATAATGATAATGACATTCATATAAAATTAAAGCGAATGAGAGAAGAAAAAAACAAACAAAGATATAAGACAAAGCCGTAAGTCTCACGACACTCCCTAGCACTCCCGACCCCGACCCATAAAATCCACAACACCAGCACCTGTTACACGCCCCCATCCCGTTGTGTTAAGGTATGAGATCCCGTTACGAGTCTCCTTCTTCCTCCTGTGTATATCCCGTGTTCTTGTTCTCGTTCTTGTTCTTCCAGCTCGGGCCACGCGAGACAGCAACAAGTGCGTAAAGCTTGGAGTCTTGGAGAGATACGGCTGGTGTGGCAGTCGGGGGGGGGGGGGGTCTTCACTGTGCATGGAGGGAAGAGGGAAGGGTTTAGAAATGTGTGTGTGTGTGTGAGGGGGGTGTAGGTGGGTGTAGGTGTGGATATGTGTGTGGGTGGGTGGGGGGGTGGATGGGTGTGTGTGTGTGTGTGTGTGTGTGTGTGTGTGTGTGTGTGTGTGTGTGTGTGTGTGTGTGTGTGTGTGTGTGGTGTGTGTGTGTGTGTGTGTGTGTGTGTGTGTGTGTGTGTGTGTGGGTGGGTGGGTGCGGGTGTCTGCGTGTCTGTGCGTGTGTGTGTGTGTATCTTGATGTATGTAGTATCTAAAGGAATGAATTTGGCTATAATTCTTATCACTGAACCAGTTTTAAGAACATTCAGGAATTCGAGTTAATTCTGAAACCTATTCGAATGAAGAAAAGAAGAAAAAAAGATAAAAAAAAATAGAAAATGACATATGACACACGAAAGATCTTCCAAACGAGAAGTGAAAAGAGAATGTATAGGATGATGGAAACAGTAATGATAATAACATTTGGACGTTAAAAATATCAATAGCCGAAATATATATACTTTTTTTTTATCTAACTACAAATGTAAGTATAAATGTAATAAAAAAAATAGTGATAACAACAAGAACTAACAATAAACACAAAGAAAAAAATATACTATTCATAACAATATTTTGATAATAAGAAAACAATACAATTCTAATAACAGTTACATGATACAAATAACCCCTGAAAAAGCACATTATAAAGGCAGCAAGAAGCATGAATATCTAAGAGGGGAAGAAACACTTATTTCTGTCAATTCTCTGTGCTTCCAGGAGGTGTCTCTCTCTTCCTATCATTACTGTTCCTTTTCGTCCTCTTCCTGTCTCTCATTTACCCTTTTTTTCATTAAGGCGAATAAAGAATAGGATAACAATAAGTCGATGAATTTTCCCGAACTATCACAAGTAATCACACGAAAGAAAAAAATGGATTCCTAGCAAACATAAAATGATAATTTCTAATTTCTTCGACATTTTTCTTTATTACCGAGAGAGCGTTTTTCCCTGACCCAAATTACACTAAGAATCCTATCCCAATCACACACACCACACACACACACACACACACACACACACACACACACACACACACACACACACATATATATATATATATAATATATATATATATATATATATATATAATATATATATATATTTATGTATATACATATTTACATACATATATGTGTGTGTGTATATATATATATATATATATATATATATATATATATATATATATATA